TATAAAAGTGAATTTTAATTTTCCATCATTATAAGTTATAGATTATATTTCCCTTCAAAATTACCAAAAAATATTTGAAGAATTCAAAGCAAAACTATTGAACAAATTGAAGAAAAATATTATAAACTTTTCAAAGAATTTATTACTAAAATTATCAATTGTTTTGGATATTATCAAATTCCTAATTAATTAAGTGCATTAGATTCTCTTAAGATATATTCTAAAGGGTTAGCTTAAAATTACAATTTATATTAATAAGAAAAATGTATTTATCAATTGTATAACTCAAATCTCGTATAAAAATAATTAGATATTCTATAGTAATAAAGAATTAAGCAATACATATGTTTGAATGATTTCTCAATATAATATTTTACACCAATTACAATCAATTCTAAATCTACACAAAGTCCTAACTTCTATTTTACTGAAATGCACAAGATACTTTTATTGATTTTGCAGTAGATATATTAAAGTTAGAGTAATAGAAATTCATAATTAAAAATAATAAAGAAAATGCAAGGCTCTTTATAAGAGAAGGAAGCTCTAGCTGACATATTTACTTAAGTAAAAGATGTAGATGGACAAATATTTGGTGTCATATTAGAAATATTTAGAAAGGAAAAAGTTTAAGACTGTATTGGATATCTTTCAGAAATTGAGAATCATAGAAATTTAGAATAATCAATCTTACAACAAATAAACTTAAAACAAGTCGATGAGGGATAAAAATTGCATGATGTTAGAAATAAAATCAACAAAATTAAAAATGTTATAAAAAAATTAAAAGATAAGACTTTTCAACTGAAGAAAATTATGAATCTACTCTAGATTTAATTTAAAGAATAAAGGATGAGAGATAGACCATAAAATCCCTGAAATTTTTAGTTCACCTCACTACAATAGATGACCAATTCATCCAATGTGGATCAAATTCACTATACTTATTAGTTGAAATGAAGGTAAATTTGACAAAAAAGAATTTTGAAAATATAAAGATTAAAAACATCTAGTTGATTGGAGCTAATTTTGTAAGATGTAATTTGAATGGATCTCATTTTGAATATGTAGATATCAGTGGAATAAATTTAAATGGGGCCTAACTGTTTTAATGTTAATGGAAAAATATTAAAATAAATGAATTAAATTCATTAGATGATCTTGAGGGATGTGTCAAATCAGCATGTTTTTCTCCTGATGGCAGTGCAATAGCATTAAGTTTTGAGGACAAGTCTATCCGTTTATGGAATATTAAAACAGGAAAAGAAAAAATGAAGTTTTGCTATCAAAGTGATTGGGTATTGTCAGTATGTTTCTTTCCTGATGGCACAAAATTAGCATCTTGTAGTAAGGATAAGTCTATTTTGTTATGGGATCTGAAGACAGGAAAACAAGCATTGAAATTTGATGGTCATAATGATTGGGTTTATTCTGTATGTTTCTCTCCTGATGGCACAGAATTAGCCTCTTGTAGTAAGGATAAGACTATCAGATTATGGGATGTCAAGACAGGACAAGGAAAATTTCAATTAAATGGACACAGAAATGATGTATATTCTGCATGTTTCTCTTCTGATGGTACAAAATTAGCCTCTTGTAGTAAGGATAAGACTATCCGCCTATGGGATGTAAAGACAGGGCAAAAATAATTTCAATTAAATGGACACAAAAATGATGTATATTCTGTATGTTTCTCTTGATGGTACAAAATTAGCCTCTTGTAGTAAGGATAAGTCTATCCGCCTATGGGATGTTAAAAGAGGAGAATAAAAAGCTAAATTGGATGGTCATACGAATTCTGTCTACTCAGTTTGTTTCTCAACTGACGATACTCCATTAGTATCTTATAGTAAGGATAATTCTATCAGATTTTGGGATGTCAATAAAGGGCTAGAAATATCTCAATTATACAAGCACAATAAAAACGCATGTTCAGTCTGCTTTTCTTCTGATGATATTGTATTAGCATATAGTTGTGAAGATAAATCTATACATATATGGGATTTAAAGACAGGTTATCAGCGATCTAAATAATTTGATGGTCATAGCGATGATATTTACTGTGTATGCTTTACTTCTGACGGAAAAATATTAGCCTCTAGTGGTAGGGACAAATTAATTCATCTTTGGGATGTTAAAACAGGATAATAAAAATTAAAATTGCAAGGACATAACGATTGCATACGTACAGTTTCATTTTCTCCAAATGGAAATGAAATAGCATCTGGCAGCATGATAGCTTAATTATTTTATGGGATGCTCAGACAGGATAAAAAATAAAGGAATTAGTAGGCCATAATGGAATTGTCTTGTCAATATGCTTCTCTCCTTTAGGTTCTATATTAGCATCTAGTAGTAGAGACAACTCTATTTGTTTATGGAATACCTAGACAGGTTAAATATAATCTCATTTAAATTGTAATGGTTATGTTCAATCATTATGCTTTTCTTCTGATGGTACTACATTAGCATCTGGTAGTTCGGATAGCTTTTTATGCCTATGGAATTTTAAAACAGGAAAAGAAATATTGAAAAAAGATTGTTAAATTGGAATCATTATGTCTGTATAATTTTCTCCAGATGGTACTACCTTAGGCTCTGGTAGCGAAGATAATTCTGTTCGCTTATGGGATTCTAAGACTGGTCAACAAATATTGAAATTGTTTGGCCATAGTAGTTACGTGCGAACAGTTTCATTCTCCTCTGATGGTACTACATTAGCATCTGGTAGTGATGATTATTCTGTTCGTTTATGGAATTTAAAAACAGGTTAACAAAAATCTAAATTAGATAGTCATAATGATTGCGTATTGTCAGTATGCTTTTCTCCTGATGGAACAATGCTTGCTTCTAGTGGAATGGATTTTTCTATCCGTTTATGGTATTTAAAAGAAAATTTTAAATATAAAATGTCACCAGATAGAAATACATTAGCTTCTGGTAGTGTAGATAACTCTATCCGTCTATGGGATGTCAAAACAGGATAATAAAAAGCCAAATTAGATGGTCATACTAGTGCTATTATGTCAGTCTGTTTCTCCTGATGGAAATACATTAGCTTCTGGTAGTGAAGATAACTCTATCCGTCTATGGGATGTCAAAACAGGATAATAAAAAGCCAAATTAGATGGTCATACTCATAATGTCTACTCAGTCTGTTTCTCTCCTGATGGAAATACATTAGCTTCTGGTAGTGATGATAAGTCTATCCGTCTATGGGATGTCAAAACAGGATAATAAAAAGCCAAATTAGATGGTCATACTCATAATGTCTACTCAGTCTGTTTCTCTCCTGATGGAAATACATTAGCTTCTGGTAGTGATGATAAGTCTATCCGTCTATGGGATGTCAAAACAGGATAATAAAAAGCCAAATTAGATGGTCATACTCATAATGTCTACTCAGTCTGTTTCTCTCCTGATGGAAATACATTAGCTTCTGGTAGTGATGATAAGTCTATCCGTCTATGGGATGTCAAAACAGGATAATAAAAAGCCAAATTAGATGGTCATACTCATAATGTCTACTCAGTCTGTTTCTCTCCTGATGGAAATACATTAGCTTCTGGTAGTGATGATAAGTCTATCCGTCTATGGGATGTCAAAACAGGATAATAAAAAGCCAAATTAGATGGTCATACTCATAATGTCTACTCAGTCTGTTTCTCTCCTGATGGAAATACATTAGCTTCTGGTAGTGATGATAAGTCTATCCGTCTATGGGATGTCAAAACAGGATAATAAAAAGCCAAATTAGATGGTCATACTCATAATGTCTACTCAGTCTGTTTCTCTCCTGATGGAAATACATTAGCTTCTGGTAGTGATGATAAGTCTATCCGTCTATGGGATGTCAAAACAGGATAATAAAAAGCCAAATTAGATGGTCATACTCATAATGTCTACTCAGTCTGTTTCTCTCCTGATGGAAATACATTAGCTTCTGGTAGTGATGATAAGTCTATCCGTCTATGGGATGTCAAAACAGGATAATAAAAAGCCAAATTAGATGGTCATACTCATAATGTCTACTCAGTCTGTTTCTCTCCTGATGGAAATACATTAGCTTCTGGTAGTGATGATAAGTCTATCCGTCTATGGGATGTCAAAACAGGATAATAAAAAGCCAAATTAGATGGTCATACTAGTGCTATTATGTCAGTCTGTTTCTCCTGATGGAAATACATTAGCTTCTGGTAGTGAAGATAACTCTATCCGTCTATGGGATGTCAAAACAGGATAATAAAAAGCCAAATTAGATGGTCATAGTAACTATGTTAGATCAGTCTGTTTCTCTCCTGATGGAAATACATTAGCATCTGGTAGTAGAGATGGTTCTATCCGTGTATGGGATCTCAAAACAGGAAAATAAAAAGCCGAATTAAATGGCTATATTGATTATTTCAAATCAGTTTGTTTCTCTCCTGATGGAAACACATTGGCTTCTAGTAACAATCGTGACTTAATCGAACTTTGGGATGTAAAAACAGGATTGTAAAAAGCCCGATTCAACCTTACTGGACTTGTTAGTTCAGTCTGTTTCACTCCTGATGGAAATACATTAGCATCTGCAGGTGGAAGCGGAAATCCTTATGAATAAGGAGATAACTCTATCCGTCTATGGGATGTCAAAACAGGATAATAAAAAGCCAAATTAGATGGTCATAGTAATGATGTTATGTCAGTGTGTTTCTCTCCTGATGGAAATACATTAGCTTCTGGTAGTTATGATTATGTTATTGAAAAATTTTTATTAGTAAAATACTTATTTTGGAAATTTAAGAGAAAATACCCATGCATTTAAGTGTTACTAATATAAAGGCTGTTTTATATATTTAAATAATTTATCGTCCAAGGAGGTTGTTATAGAGAGGATAAATTTTATTAAGATTATCATTTATGTTAATCAAATACCAATAATTATTTCCTTTTTAATTCTACAATTTAGGTGCAATTTCTTAATTTAATTGTAAAATATAACCATTTAATCAGTTTTTAAAGACTTAAGGGATATTATTTTTGAATATATATTAATAAATTTTGTAAAAATCATTTTGAAGGGACAATAGTGATTATACATTGAGTAATAACTGTTTATTATTTGATGTATGTAAAATTTCAAGTTGAGCTCAAGTTAATCAATAATTAAGATTCATTTATAACGGTTGGAGAAGATATAATTATCTCCTTAAATCTTAATAATTTCAAAATTATAATATTTTTTAGTATGTTTTCAAAGTTTTTTAATATCTTATCAATTAACAGGTGATTGATACATTATCTTGAATTGAGAGCAATGTTAAAATTAATCAATATTATATTGTTTTAACTTTGTTATATAGTTTAGAAGATTAACTATATTTTATTTCATTCTTGTCATATCTTTGTTATTTAATAAATCTTTTACTATTTATAAACTAATTTTACAAAATTATTAATTATATCTATTAAGACTTATGTTTATAAATAGTAATAAATTAAATAAGTTATCAGTTTATCTTATGAAATAATCATGCAGTTTTGTTAAGTTAGTTTTCAATTAAGTAATTAAAATCAATCTTTATTTTAATCTCTTCATTTAGCTTACTGTTCTTTGTTTGGATTATTAATTTAATGTAGTATCATTTAACATTAAATCTCTATAAATGTTAATTAATATCAGTTTTTTTTAAGGAGATCTCAATAAATATACCCTACATTTCCTTAAAATGGAATATTTTTGAAAAAACTTGTATAAATCTTAAGAAATCAAAATTAAGAATAAAGCCAAAAAAAGATATAATTAAAAAATTTAAAGATTGAATTTAAATAATAATTGTTGTAATGTTGTTTATGAATAATACTTATCATTTTTACTTAAGGTCTTCCAAAAAGCAACTACCTTTAGATTTGAATAAAGGTTTTAAATCTTTTCCTTAATGGTTAATAAATTCTCCTTACAAGATAAGTGTACCTGATGCTTCTAATAAAGGATTCTAACAAATTCTAAGTATAGTACGATCTGGCTCAACTAAAAAATAATAAATAAAAAATACCATTTGGTAATAATGAACTATTCTAAAGTGGTATTTTAAATTATGCAAGTATATCTTTGTAGTTTTTATCAGAGGATTTAATTTATTATCCTGTTTTGACATCCCATAGTCGAATAGACTTATCATCACTACCAGAAGCTAATGTGTTTCCATCAGGAGAGAAACAGACTGTTACGACAGT